TAAGGCAGGACCTCCGTGGTCACCTCCGCTGGCCATTTTGTCTGGTGGCCGACCGTCCGTTTGTCTCTTTATCTCACCTTCCCCTGCCTCTCTGTTTCCCCCCAGCCCCGCTCCCTTTGTCTCTGCGGTGGTGCCTCCCTGTGTTTCTGGTCCTTTCTCTGTGCCGGGGCTGCAAACCGGGGTGGGTGGGGGCGTGCGTGAGCGGGGACTGCAGACCTGGGCAACGCGGGGGCTGCGGCCCTGGCCCCGCACCTCTTCATTTGTCTCTGCTTCAGACCCTCTGCCCTCCCTACATCTCTCTACCTTATTTGTTGTCTGTGGAGGGTTTCAGAGGGCGAGGGAGAGAAAACTGCCTTCCCTTCTTTCTAAACAGCGTGCACCCCCTACATACACCCACACCCACACCCAGTGAGGCTTTAGGGCCCAATTTCTGCAGAACAAAAGGGAGCAGCCTGTTGATGGGTGGCTGGCTACCTTGACGACTGGCCGCACTGGGCCTTACAGGGCCTTATAGGGCCAGGAAAGGCATCTGAACCGCGGCCCCAAGGCCCCTCAGAGGGCCCCTCGGCCTCTCTCTGTTTGCTCTTCAAACCCACATCCCTGACTCCCTGCTCATCTCCATTCCCACTTGACCATTAGTCACCAAATCCTGCAGTATTTTCTGAAAGAGGCTCTTCCCTCCCGCCCCGCCCCTCCTCTGAAATTCTGCACAGGGAGCCTCTGGCCTGGTCTGGTCTGGATCCCTCGATCTCCTCTCCTCTCTTCCTGCAAACTGGTCCATCAGCAAGGGCACCTCAGGGCTCAGGAAAGATGTGCTCCATCAATCAGGGTCTCTCCCTTTATCCTCCTCTTCCTTCCCCTGGCTCTTCACACTTAAACTCCAAGCGGAATATCTTGCCATTGTCATTCCATGGGTCTGGCTTCCCCTTCTCCACCTGGGTCTCATCTTCTCCATCTCTCCCTCTGTCAAGTTCTCCCTCCCCTGTGTTCCAAAGTCCTTTGTTCACAGCCCTCCTGGCCCCGGCCTCTCCTTGCTTAGTCGGTCATTTGCGACACATCTGTCTCTCCCGCTAGACCCGGCTTCAGCATGTGCACGCTGCCTGGCACACCTCATTGAATGAGGATGGATTTGAAAGCCACCCTCATCTCCCCATCCCTTCTGGAAACACACCTAGAATCCTACCTATCCAGGTGCTAAGTCTCGGAAGGAAATTCCAACGAATTAATCTACCTGCCAGCACTTGAATTTTCCCTGCAAACACAAAGGTCCCCCCTCTTCCCTCACACCTCAATTCAGCCAGAAGGCTCCAGGCACCCTCGCCACTTCACTGCTGTGACCGCGTTTCTGTCTGGGCCTTCATGTTCACTCATAGGCATTCTTGTCACACTTCCGCGAGCGTTTCTAGGACTGTATTGAGGTCCTTTATCCTGTGGAAGGTTCTATTCTTCCTGGGGTTCAGGTTGCATCGACAGCAGTGGGGGTGAGAATTGGGCTCGCAGGGACTTAAACCTTAGTCAGCCTGAGCCCAGCCCCTGGCATCCCCAGATGAGGCCTTCAGCCCCATTCGTTTGTCACGGGAGGCCTCTGCAGCAAGTGGTCAGACTGGAGTCCAGCTAACGTGCGGCAGACTCCAGAGCCAGTGTTCCTACTGCTGCCGTCGCCAGCCACAGCAGTGTGCACACCGCCTCCCCATGGCAACCCCGCTCTGGAATCCGGCCATTCGTTCTCTGTGCCAGGAACCTCGGACTTTTTGGGTCCCAACATTCCACTCCCCCCTTAAAGGGCTGCCCTTCAGCTGCATGTCTGGAGAGGAAAGTGAAGGATCTGGGAGTGGAGGCACAAGAGGTGGGTCTGGGAGGGAGGCACTAAGGCCAGGATCATGTGCTGAGTCCTGCCACACACTTTCACACCACCTTCCCTTCCTGTCACCTCTTCCTGGTAAGTGCGCTGCATCTTTATCAAAAGCCCCCCCCCCATCTTTCAAGGCCCTTCTCGTGGTGCCTCCTTCCGTTTTAACCTGATTTCCCTACTGGAATCTATGTGTCTCTCTATCTGAGCCCTGATAGCATGTCACCTGCTCTAAGGGCTACAGCTACCTCCGGAGACCAGGAAGGGTTACGTTTGATGATTTGCTCATTTTGTATTTCTTACGGTGCCTCTCATCACGAAATGGTGTGTGTCTCAGCTCTACCACTAACTGTGTGGCCCGCATAAGTCCTCTCGCTCTCCTAAATCTTTCATTTTTTTAATTTTTATTTTTAAATCCTCACTAGAGGATATTTTTCCATTGATTTTTAGAGAGGGAAAGACAGAGAGAAATATCGATGTGAGAGAAACATACCGATTGGTTGCCTCCTGCACGCTGCACATGCCCCGACCAGGGCCTGGCTGGGGAGGATCCGGCACCTGAGGTACTCCGTGCCCTTGACCAGAATCAAACCAGGACCCGTTGGTCCGTAGTCCGACACTCTATCCACTGAGCTACCAGCCAGGGCAAGCTTTTATTTTTTTTAAATTGATTTGAGAGAGAGAGAGAAGCATCAATTGTTGTTTCACTTATGTATGCTTTCATTGGTTGATTTTTGTATGTGCCCTGACCCGGAATTGAACCTGAAGCCTTGGCATATCAGAATGATGCTCTAACCAACTACCTGGCTAGGGCCTAAGCTTTTAAAAGTGGAATTAGAGGGCAAGGGTGTAGGGGAATAATTTTCCAACACTTCTCTTGTAAGCTCATATTTTAGATTCTTCTTTGGAGTAAAATAGACTCAAGTGTTTACAAGGTAATGTCTGAGTTGTAAAAACTCCGTGTTTTTTAACTGTGTCCCCCATGCAGTCTTGGCTGCCATAATCAGAGCACCAGGACCCTTTTTTTCTTGCATCTGCATGGGAACCTTAGGAGCAGACAGTAACTGCTCCAGGTCAGTCAGATAGACGCATGCCTCACACTTCCACTTTCTTGAATAAGGTGTTAGACTAGACCAGTGGTCGGCAAACTCATTAGTCAACAGAGCCAAATATCAACAGTACAACGATTGAAATTTCTTTTGAGAGCCAAGTTTTTTAAACTTAAACTATATAGGTAGGCACATTGTTATTAACTTAATTAGGGTACTCCTAAGCTGGCCTTTGCTAAAAACGTCCTCAGTCTGGTTGAGGTACGTTCGCTGAGGTCGACCCCTTCCAACTCTCCCATCCACACTCGTCTTGTATACTTGTTTCGTCTATCTCCTTTCCGAAAACCGACTTCTGCGCATGGGCCACAAAGTTTCAGTCGCACTATACGTGCGCGCCCGCACATGGTATTTTGTGCAAGAGCCACACTCAAGGGGCCAAAGAGCCGCATGTGGCTCGTGAGCCGCGGTTTGCCGACCACTGGAATAGACCATCTCTAAGGTGCTTTCCAGCTGGGAAATGTGTATGAAAAGAAAAGAAAGGCTGGGATCTGAGTGTTCATCTAGGCCCCATCTCTCGTGTGGCCCTCTGTCCACAAGGTGCCGGGTGTGACCAGGCCTTGGGAAGGAGTGAGAGATGGGCCACATCTGATGGAGCCAGTCCGCAGGATCCAGGATCTGAGAGTGAGGAGCAAGTCAGCCCGTGAGCCAGGCCCCAGTTGAACCATGTTGCCCACCTCAGTCTCTTCACAGAGCCCATGGAGTCCACAGCTGAGGAGACAACTTTCCACTGCCACAGGGACCCCCTGCCACCGCCCGGCCTCACCCCTGAGAGGCTGCGGGCGCAGAGGCAGCTATGCGTCGCCTGCGCTGTGTGCTGCGTCTTTATGGCCGGGGAGGTGGTTGGTAAGTTGGAGAGCTGCTCCTCCAACCCCATCATCCCGACATCTGCCTAAGCCACTCTCCACTCAGAGTCCCAGGATGTGCCAGGGGTTGGCGGTGCAGAGAAGAGGGGGATGGCTGGCACTTGGGAGTTGGGTGCCCAGGGATCCAGAAACAGGAGAGAGTGAAGGACAGCACCAGGGGAGGTTCGGGGCGAGGTCCAGGGCTGGACTCTGTGATAACTGCTCTTTTCAAAGCCCTATGTTCTTGTTATTAAAATGTCATTGTAGAAAAACTAGGAAATGTGGATGAGTGAAAAGAAGAAAATAAAAACGATCTATAATCCCATCACCAGTGAAAAACCATAGCTCACATTTTGGTGTATGCCCCCCGCCCCCATTTTCATGCCTACACAGCAAATGTGCATTGTTTTACCCTTGCAGGTGGGTATTTAGCACACAGCCTGGCCATTATGACCGACGCAGCCCACCTGCTGGCGGATGTGGGCAGCATGCTGGGCAGCCTCTTCTCTCTCTGGCTCTCTACCCGTCCAGCCACCCGCACCATGACCTTTGGCTGGCATCGCTCAGGTATGGCTCCTGCATGAGCTGGTGACCCTCCAGTCTTGCTGGAGGGCACCTCCTAGGGTCCCGGGCAGGTCTCTGATAGCTTGTCTCTGCCTGCAGAGACTCTGGGGGCTTTGGCCTCTGTGATCTCCCTCTGGATGGTCACGGGCATCCTCCTGTACCTGGCCTTCATCCGCCTGCTGCACAGCGACTACCACATCGAGGGGGGCGCCATGCTGGTGACCGCGGGCATCGCAGTCTGTGCCAATCTGCTGTACGGTCCAGTATGGAGCAGCCACCTGTGGGGTTCAGGGCAAGGGGCCCTCCTCCAGGCTGGGAGAGCAGGTCCTCCCCTTGCAGACAGACAGGCAACGCAAAGCACTGGTTCTCAGCAGGCTGCCCTGAGAATGCCTGAGAGACAACTGGGGGAGGCCGAAAATTCAGTCAACAGACACTCGTTAAAGGCCTGCCGTGTACCAGCCACTCTTGCTGGGACTGTCATCAGTATCCTCTCATTAAAAGCTCACAACCACCCAGGCCGCATAGCTATTTAAGTAGCAGGGCCAGCATCTGAATGCAGATCTCTGGCACCATGCGCTCTATTGCTCTATTCTTGCCCCCAGGCGGCACTATTTTTCTCAATGTTGTCTTCTTCCTGGGGCTGGGAACACAGGGAGAATATAGTGGAGAAAGAGCTCATGGGGAGGTGAGAGGGGAAGGAGAGAGGGGGAGGTGTGGAAATAGGCAGAGGAGGCTGGGAGCAGGCCCCTGGGCTGAGCTGCTCTGCTTCCCCCTCAGAATGGCCTTTGTGCTGCACCAGGCTGGGCCCCAGCACAGCCATGGGTCTAGGGGGGCTGAGTATGCACCGCTGGAGGAGGGGCCTGGGGAGCATCTGCCCCTGGGGAACACCAGTGTCCGGGCGGCCTTTGTGCATGTACTGGGGGACCTCCTGCAGAGCCTTGGGGTGCTGGCTGCCTCCATCCTCATCTACTTCAAGGTACTGTCCACCAGGCCTGTCCCAGCCTTCCTCCCCCAACTCCACCCCCCATCCCCGCCTTCCCAGGACCCACAGCCTCCTTCCCCGATTCCAGCTCCTGGCTCCCTAGGATCCCTGCCTGGGGTCCTGGCCCCGTTCCCCTGAGCAGGGTTCTCAGGGGCCTAGGACACCCGTAGATCTTCCTCTGAAAGGTCCCTGGTTTCGGGCTTAGGGGTCTCTCTTTGTCTCAGCCTCAGTGCAAGGCAGCTGATCCCATCAGCACCTTTCTCTTCTCTATCTGCGCCCTGGGGTCCTCGGCTCCCACCCTCCGAGATGTTCTCCGTGTCCTCATGGAAGGTGAATCAGACCCACTGTTCCCCATCCTTTGGGCCCTCTCTGACCTCACTCCAGCACGGGGCGCCTCTCTTCTCTCTGATGAGTGTGGGGAGAAGGCCGGGGCCATGGGCCTCTTGCTGGAAGGAGGGTTCAGGCACAGGCTGAGTTGTGGGGTCACAGGCTGAGGGGGTACAGAATGGGGGAGAGGGGGTCTGGTGGGGGTTGTCCCTGGGCAGGAATAGCCCCAGTAGTAAGGCTTGGTGGATGCTGCTTGCAGGTGCCCCTCACAATGTGGGCTTTGAGCCGGTGAGGGATGCACTGCTGTCAGTGCCAGGAGTCCAAGCCACTCATGAACTGCACATGTGGTCCCTGACGCTCACGTACCACATTGCCTCTGCACATCTGGCCATCGGTGAGTCCACACTGGCCCAGCCAGTGATTCCTAGAAGCATTCCCCCCGCAAAACAGAGGTGGATATTACTGAGGTTGTCTCAGTCTCTCCCTCTCTCCCTCTCCCCCTCCCTCTCCCTCTCTCCCTCTCTCCCTCTCTCCCTCTCTCCCTCTCTCCCTCTCTCCCTCTCTCCCTCTCTCCCTCTCTCCCTCTCTCCCTCTCCCCTCCCTCTCTCCCTCTCCCTCTCCCTCTCCAAGTAGAGCAGGGAACTAGTAACCCTTTACAAGATCACTAGTACCTAGTTACTAGTGATGAAGCACAGTTAGGTAAATCCAGCCCCTCCACTCAGTGCTACCACATATCTGCTGAAAACGATGACTATGAATACTGTATGGCAACTAGGGAAACTGTTTGTGGTATAATGCTAAAAGGAAAGGCTGAATATAAAATTATCTCTACATTATGATTCAACTATTAAAAATATATATGGTGACTCACAAGCTGACAAAGGATTTTTGAGTTTCTTCCAGATGCAGGAAGCAATCAGAGACATGCAGTTTGGATGCCAAAAATATTATACTTTGTGGGATATTTGATGGCTCTAGGGGGGCAGTGGGACAGAGTATTTAACATCTGGGTTGTCCCGGAAAATTGGGTGGCCTGGCTGCTGAAGGGCTGTATTCTGATACTCGGAGAGCAGAAGAGAATAGAAAAATAAGAACAGTTTAGTGTGTTAGCCTGGTCGATTTGGGGTGAGTCCAGCCTTTTCTTTGGCGTTTTTATGCTTTTCATACAACACGGAAAGCAAATAAAGATCCCTATTGAAGCCTGGCCTGAATGCTGTGCACGCTCCCGGGTCCCCCTTCACTGGTCCTTATCTTGGCCCCGGCCTGGTTCCCGGCTCCCCTGGGGACCTGCTGTCTCTTATCACTTTCCCACAGACTCCACTGCGGACCCAGATGCTGTCCTGGCCGAAGCCACATCCCGGCTCTACTCCCGATTTGGATTCTCCAGCTGTACCCTGCAGGTTGAGCAGTACCAGTCTGAGATGGACCAGTGCCTGCGCTGCCAGGAGCCTCCCCAAGCCTGAGCTGGCCCTGCTCTCTGCCCACTGCCAGGCCCTGGCTCAGCCCTAGGCTCTCAGCTGGGCCCTTACCCCTTCCTCTCTCCCTCCTGCCACCTGCCAACTCCCCAGCCCCAAGCCCCAGTGGGCAAGACCAAAGTAAGGGGGGAGTGGGGTGGGAGTTGGGCTGACCAGGGAACCAGTGCAGTGGGGGGTGGGGGTCCCAGCTCCCCACGGTCTGGGGAGCCACGAGCATCCTTTCCGTGCAGTTCATTTGTCTGTGTGGCAGGCTGGCCGCTGGCTGGGGCATCTGCCTGTCTGTGTGCTGTTGGTGTGCCTAGGCCTGGGGGAGGTCATCAGGGGCCCCTCCCCACGTGGCCCTCGCTCTGTCTATGCAGGAGCCCCAAAACTTGCACTTTGTCCGTGTGTTCTGGCCCTGTGGCTTTGTCTGTGTGTGCGTGTGTGTGTGTGTTTCTTGGTGCTGTGGCCTGTGTCTCTCTGTGCCTGTGTGGCTGCGCTATGGTCTCTGAGTCTGCACCATCCATGTGTCCCTTTGGGGGTCTGTCTATCCCTCTGTTGGTGCTGTGCCCTGGGCTTTCCCAGAGAGAGGGAGGATCCACTGCAGCTCCACAATAAACGTGTGTGTCACTGCATCCTTCAGCCGTGCTGACTCCTGGGGCGGGAAATGGAATCCGTCACCTGAGCACGGACAGCATCCGACAGTCCAAGTGACCTCCACAGCCCGCGACGCCTCCCCAGCCGCCCCCTCCACCATCAAATGTACCTCCCAGCGATATAGGTTGGAACCCGCAGGCTCGTCCCACCTTCCCCTCCTCAGCATGCGCCAGCCTGGGCTGGAAGGCAAGGAGCGAAGGGCTTCTGGGAGTCATTCCTAAAGGCTCCCCCAGACCACGGTGCCTGCCTCGGGCTGGGCAGAGGGAAGCTGCGTCACTCTGGGGGAGCGTGGTTGGACCCCGGGGCTGATGTGGGCTCGGTTCTCAGCTGCATGAGGCCAGGGGAGGGGCCTTCAGCCCTGACTGCCCACCCTCGGTCCAGGTTTGGGCTGCGGACACCAAGGCCCTCTTACAGTTCTTCCCCTTTTGCCTTCAGGATCATATAGAATCATATAGATCTGATCTGACAAACCAGACCCATTGAGGAATTGATTTTTGCTTTTTAAAAACCAAACTGCTTGTGCTGACTTGAGATCTAGTGCTTCGGATCAGCAGAGTTCACTGGCCTTCCCACCACAGCTGATCAAGCCCCAGCCCCGAGCAGCATTTTTTATTAGCCTGTGCGTGTTTCTGCCAGGCTCCCCCCACCACCCAGTAATGGAAGTAATTTTATTATGAAATTATCTCCTTTTTGTTACTAAAGCATATTATAAATATATGCTTGTTTGAAGGGTTCAACAAAGGAAATGTGTATAAAGTAGAAAGTGAATGTTTCCCCCTATAACAGTGATGGCGAACCTATGACACTCATTTTTTTGGTTGATTTTTCTTTGTTAAATGGCATTTAAATATATAAAATATCAAAAATATAAATCTTTGTTTTACTATGGTTGCAAATATCAAAAAATTTCTCTATGTGACACGGCACCAGAGTTAAGTTAGGGTTTTTCAAAATGCTGACACGCCGAGCTCAAAAGGTTCGCCACCACTGCCCTATAAGCTACTCCCAGAGGTAGCTGCTATCCGCAGTCCGGAATCTCCCCGCTCATGTTTTTATATACGCAAACACTTCTATTAATAACCTAACGGGATCACTTTATTGTTTAACCTGCTTTCATGACTCAGACACCCTGGCTGCACCTCTTCACGTCAGTACACAGAGATTCCATTACTCTTCTTAACGTGAGGCCTTCGGACTGGCCGGAAATAGGCCTCCCCACTCGGATCCTTAGCTGGGGGCCTGGGCCCAGCTGGGTCACTGGCGGCCTGAGGAGGACGTGGGAGGCTGGGCCAAGGTGACAGGCTGGCGGCCCATCCCACCGGGAGCTGGGCTGCCCCTGCCCCAGCTGCTCTCCATGCTTTGCTAGTTCCTGATACTTTCCCATTTTACGGCTCATTGATTACAGGCCCCAAGCGACAGGATGGGGGTGGGGAAGAGAGGAAATGGAGGTTGGGGGGAAATGAGGACTAGATGTTCACCTTATGAACAGCCCTAAGCTGCAGGCCCACCTACATACACAGCGCTGGGTCCCTCTGCAGGGGAGGGAACAGGCTGTCCAAGGCAGAAAGAGACCTCACAGAGCACGCAGTCCCTCTGCCCCACCCCTGCAAGAGGAGGAAGAGGCAGCTGAGGCTCAGAGGGAACAGGACTTCCCCACGGTCACCCAGTGAGTGGCAGGGTCAGGAGCAGAGCCCGTTCTCATTCCCACCAGGCCCCCCTTTTTTTTTGGCGGGGAAGGGGGGAGCGCTACAAAAAGCTTTATTGTTTCCATGTGGTCCAAGCACGGGAGAGGGCTCAGGGTGGTTAGAAGGATGGCTAGTGGTTTCAGGGAGAGGCTCAGGCAAAAGCCAGACACCAGGGGATGCAGAGGGGCCCCTCACAGGCCTCTGGGCTCCAAAGGCTCCTAGTTGTGCTTGAGGGTCAGGATGAGCCTGTAGAAGAGACACTCGCCCAGCCCAGCCTGGAGGCCGGCGCCTGCGGAGGTGAGTCAGGTGTCGCCCATCTTCCTGATGAGTTTCACCTCCTCACCCAGGAAGTGGTTCCCCAGGAAGTCACAGAGACGAGGGTCTGCGGGTAGAACCGGGGCAGGCAGGTCCACAAGGGCCTGGTTCAGGCTCCTCTCCAAGGCCAGGGCGGCTTCCATGGCGTCCTGAGTTTTGCCCACTCATCTTGGGGAGGCTCCAGCGCGTCCTGGAGAGAATGCGGCCACCGCGCTGGTTTTGCGTCTTTGAGCAGTAGCGCGCTCTCTCGGAAGTGACCACACCCTCCAGAGCCACGTCCTCGGGTCCAAACAGAAGCCCGGAGAGAGGTAGAGAGGTAGGTGTGGGAGCCGCGGATGCAGGTCAGCCAGGGGGTAGACGGGGCCTCCACCTCCGTGGAATAATTCTGACGAGTTTGGGAGCTCATGGTTGTTGGGCAATAAGGACTTAAGATCAAAAACAGGTGTCGCTGGTCTTGGAGGCTGAGGATGGCTGAGGTGGTTCCCAAGGTGGTGACTGGAAAAGAGGTTGGAGGGGGCTGGGAGGCTGGAAGAAGGGGTGCCCCTGGGTCTGTTCCGTGCAAACACTGTTGAAGCGAGAGACAGATCCGGGGACGCTGAGGGCACTGCCCCACGCAGGCCCCTTCGAAGCTCTCGCCCAGCTGAGTTTCTGGGCTCCTTTCTCAGCCGCCTGCTCCTGCCGGTACCCAGGGCCTGGGCTCTGAACTCTGGCTCCGTGGTTCTGCTCTCGTTTACCCTCTGGTCACTGGTAACCTCTCTGCCTCCAGCTTCCTAACTGTACGCAGAGGGACTACATGGCATGTGGGTGTGAGCGCGCCGGGTACAGAGCCTGTAGGGAAGGCCTAGCGTTGGTGGAACCCCGGGTGCAGGGGAGAGATTTCCGGGGAACAGGGTGGCCCAGCACCCCGACAGCGGAGACAGGAGCCAGCATTTACTGAGCTAACCCTGAGCGCAAGGCACTGAGGTCGATATATCTGCACCTTCCATTGTGGGGAAGCTGAGGCTTACCGCCCAGGGTCCTGATGCTGATAACTCCGAGTTGAGATTCAAACTCGGTTCTGACTGCTCCGAGGCCCCAGCCGTCTTCCACGCCCCCCCCCCCGCCCGCCCCCCCCTCCAGTCAGGGACAGGGAGCGTCCTCCTTCGGGTGTACAGCGTTCCCAAGGGGGCCAGGAAACCCTCATCTGCAGGAGCTGCCGGCACTGCCTGTTATCTCCCCAGCCCACCTTCCCCTCAGCGTATCCAGCGGCCTTGCCCTGTGGCCCTTCCCTGATGATAGAATATGTGGCCGAGGGAGAGGTGAGGAGAAAGGACTGGAAAGGGGCGGGGAGCGAAGGGGAGGTGGAGGAAGAGCGGAGGGGGGAGGCCTGTCATCCATCAACCCAGCCCTGGCAGGTTGTTACACAGCTGGTTAGCCAGGGGGCGAGGGGCGAGGGGCAGAGGCAACGGAGAGCCAGAGAAGGAGAGGTGGTCAGGAGGAAGGGAGATAGGATTGTCATCCTGCGAGTGCAGCTGTAGGCGTGCTCACAGGAGACAGGAGACCATCCAGACAGAACAGCCAGCTGGGAGGCTGCAGAGACTGGGCCCGGGGAATGTCGGGCAGGTGGACAGGCCCCGCCTTCCTCACTGCGCTGCTTATCTGGGGTCTGCTGGGCCAGCTGGCAGGGACAGACACACCTTTCTGTCCAAGGGTGAGGACTGAGGACCCAGCAGGCTAGGGGAACAGTCTGTCTGGGGTCAAGAGGAAGAGCAGGGTGCCCAGCCAGCGTGGCTCCGTGATTGAGCACTGACCCATGAACCAGGAGGTCACGGTTCGATTCCCAGTCAGGGCACATGCCCGGGTTGCAGGCTTAGTCCCCAGTGTGGGGCGTGCAGGAGGCAGCCAATCAGTGATTTTCTCTCATCATTGATGTTTCTATCTCTCCCTCTCTGAAATCAATAAAATATATATATTATTTTTTTTTTTAAGAGGAAGAGCAGAGTGATAAAGCTGTGTCCTCCTCCCTCCAGTGCCCCTGCTGCCCCTTCAGGGACTTCAGTGCAGGCCAGTCTAAAGGACTGGGCCCATCCTTGCTGCCTTGAGCTGGACGTCAGAGGGGGAGCAGCACCCCTCTTCCCCCCTGGCCCGTGCCATGCTGAGCAGAGGCTCCGGAGGGATCTCAGGGCCTGAGTCAGGATGGGAAAGCGCTGGCCCTCTTCCTGGCAGATCCCCCACCTCCCCGGAGAGCTGCATTTAGGGAGTTTCCTTTATGCTTGAAGGACTCTTCACCCCCAGCTCTGGGAGGTCCCAGGGCCACCCTGTCTCTGCCATGAGCTCCAGGGCCATCCCACCAGCACCTGGCCAGTACCTTCAGGGAGGAGGTGGGGGGGCGCTGGGCAGTTCCCAGGCTTCTGTGGGGCAGAGCCCGAGGTTGTGGATGGAACTGGGATCAGAGATGATCCCACAGACAAAGACCCCGATTTCCAGGATGGGAGAGAGAAAGTGCAAGGAGAATGAGTAGGAAGGAGGGCCGGGTGGCCAGAGCTTGTGCCTCTCTCCTTCAGCATCACTCCCTGCCTCTCCCTGCCCCGCCCTGCTCCCCGGCTACAGCATCCTGCAGGCCAGGGAGCAGTTCCCACCAGGCCTGGGCAAAGCGCACTCAGAGGACAGGTGTCCTCCGAGCGGAGCTGACCCTCCGCACTGGGCACCATCTAGAGGCCATGGTAGCCACCCTGGGGAAGGGCACATCTCCTGGCCGCCTCCCCTGCAGCACCAGAACCCCCATGCTCTCTGGGAGGCTCTGTGGTCGGTTTCTAAGTGGGCGCCTCACTACTGGAGAGAAGGAAAGTGCAGCCATCAGCAGCCTCCCCTGCCCTAGATTAGAGCTACGCTGGGAGGGAAAGGTGCAGGCGCTTGTACAGAGCACTTTCCATTCTTAAAACATGAAACCTCAGAATAGAAGAGGAAAGCACTGTGTGGGTGGGTCTCCAGGTGCCACC